TCCGCTTTATAGCCCCCTTTGAGGAGTTTAGATTATGGCTCCTGTAGCCACACTGTTTCCCTAAACCCTAAACCCTAAATCCTAACCTAATAACATTTAACACCAATGAGTATGGCAGTTTCCCAAAATAAGGGGACCCCAATATAGACCCCAATAGACTATAATTCCTACCCAAAAAGGTATCCTATATTTTTTCCCTAACCCTAAACCCTAAACCAGCCACAACAAGGAAGGCAGGACAAACAAGTCTTTGCGGATGGAGCTCCTCCAAGTTCATCCCTTCGCCCTGGGACCCGGTGGATGAAGGACTTTAAGGGTTTAGGGTTTAGGGTTACTTAGGGTCAAGTCTACAGTCTTCGTGAGGGGTTTGGGGGTTTTCGGGTTGAGAGTATGGGAGACTTGGGAAAAGGACTCTGAGAGTGTGTTTTAGGTTTGAGGGTTGGAGTTTCGGACTCCGCGGGTGGGTGCGCAGGACGTTTGAAGTTTCTGGCCTGTAGTCGTTTTGAACTGCACCTCCTTGAAAAAGTGCACAATGTAAGCTGGACACCTCGTTGAGGCTAAGCCTTTGTGTTTTCGGCGTGCTGCCATAAACAAGAAGGCCTCTACTACCCAAGGTTCATTTGGGATCCCTACACAATCTCCCTCCTTTGATGAACCCACATCTATCAAGGGTTCTCTGGGTGTCCCTATTTGAAGGAGTCAATGTTTGCAGCCTTGGACTTCAACTGCTGATTCCGTGAGCGAGGGGCCCCTAACATTGGAAGCCGCACGCCCTAATCCCAAAACCCTACACACACGCACATATATATATATATATAAGTAAATATGAACATGTAATCCCTAAATCCCTTTTGAAAGGGGCCCCTAAGTTTTGAACACAGCTTCGGGGGCTCCATGTTAGCTCTCGACTTTGGGTTGAGAAAGAAGCTATACGTACCAGATATACGTGGGTGTGGGATTCGGTTTGAGTCTAGTGTTCAGGGCTTGGGGTTCAGGCTTTAGGGGTGTGTCTTTGGAACCTTCAAGTGGGGAGTGACGCAGTGATGTCCTACAGTTGCCCCCACACCGTGCCCCTCCACCAAGCCCTAAGCCTATACCTTAGGCCCTAAACCCTAAACCCTAATGAGCCTACTGTCCCTCCTGACTGACAGGAATGCTAGCTTGGCATTCTGCGCCTCAAGAGCTAACTTCAGGAGTAATTAAATAACTTGGCCGCACCTCACCCGCAGACTCCAGGAATCGTTGAAAGATCGCACAATCCTCCCCACACAAGGCACGGTTCCGGGACCATGACTTATTGCAGGCATGACGCAAAGCTCTCTAAACAGCTTCAGAACGAGTTTGTCTTCCGCTGTACATATAAAACACCCAAGCTGAGTTCTGCTAGATGGTCAGCTCCCGGGTACCAAGTAACATGAGAGCTTTGACATCAAAGCCCAGGGCCCAAGGATCGCATAGATTCCTTCACTTTATCATAGTCCTCAGGTGGATTTAACACGAACCCACAATGACCAAGCAACAAGACATCTTTGTTTGTGTCGTGCTTTCCCTCTCTTCCCCAATAACCAGGGCTAAAAACGTTTAAATTTCATTATCGAGACCCAAAAAGGAAGCCCCAAAAGGTTCAAGTGTTTCCATTGGCTAAGTAAGTTCCTGCTAAAAAACGAAAAACTCCTCAAATGACAACCAGAAGCGCTACCAGGACAGCAAAGTGCTTCTTCAGCAACAAGGGGCCTTCCTAAACCCAAAATGCGTGTTGCCCAAGAAAGCCTAGACCCTCAGCCCCACATTTCACTACATTGGTTTAATGTGTAGGTTTTAGGGTTCAATGTAGGTTTAGGGTTTAGGGTTGTTCTGAGCTTTCCCCAGCTTGCGGCAAACCGGGTACATTTGCATCAAGACTAATGTAAACTGCTTCATAAAACTGTCACAAACAAGGCAAGAGCGAACATCTTCCAGAGAAAGCTCTAGGCAGTAAGTCTATCCATCCCTACACCCTAAACCCTAAATCCTACAACCCCTACCCCTGAACGCTAAACCCAAAACCCTGAACCCTAAACCGTCAACATGTGTCAAGGTTTTCCCTGCCAGCACACAGATAAGACGCTTGCTACGTCAGATGACTTGTGATTTTAAGAAACGATCAAAAGCCCCAAGGAAGCTAAAGTCTAAACTCCTCAAGGGTCGTGTCATATGTTTAGGGTCTGAACTCCTTCAAGGGGGGGCTTATATACGGGATCATTCAAGGGGTTGTCAAGAATGATACTAGGAATTTAGACGATGGACACACATACGCCAGCCAATGTTGTCGGTAAGGAGCAGGAAATTTCACTCTTCGGATTCCTGTGGTAGCCAAAACAGCTCTGAACCTTAAAAAATACAAGAAAGGACGGCAGCTTCCACAAAAGCCTAAAACCGAAACCCTAAATCCTAAGCCCTACAAAACCCCCTATATAACCCCTAAAAATGAACAGGAAAAATCCTAGCTGCTGCAGTCCTTGGACAGCTGCGGACTTCGCAAGCAGCGATGAAGGAACCTCGGCGGGCGCGGTTTAGGATTTAGGGGTTAGAGTTTTAGGGTTGAAGGTTTTAGGATTGAGGGTTTTAGGTTTAACGTTTTAGGATTAGGGTTTTAGGATTTAAAGTTAGGGTTTAGGGTTTTACGGTTCAGAGCTTTTAGGGTTTAGGGTTTTAGACACGCGCATCGCACACTGCCGTGCGGGGTTTTAGGGCTTGGGGTTTAGGTTAACAGGGTTTTGAGCAACAAGGAATTTCCTGAATATCCAAGAGGACGTGAACGGGGACCCCAAACAGGGAACCCCAAGAATATAGAGGGAATATGGTGATAAAAGGGCCCGAGCAGGTTCATTCCTATCATGTTCCTACCATATTACTGGGGTTCCCTGTTTGGCGTTCCCATTCAAGTCCTATATTCTATATCAGTAAACCTACTTTGGGCCCACAAGTCTGTAAATGCTATCTGCATGGGCTATGTAGTTGGATCCCAACGGCCCTTCTGGGAGAAATGGGGGTTTCCAAACATTTGAGGGGGGCCCAATAACAATTATAGTATTTTGGGGGTCTATATTGGTCCCCCTATTAAAGGAAACTACCAAATATGGGACAACTTGTGCTCCAGTGAACCTCGCTCTTGGTGAAGACAGTGCTGAGAAATCGTGTGCGATCTCCTACCTTTAGGCTTGCACAGCGTTCCCGAAAAAGGATCCGGAAACTAAACCCCTAAATCCCAATCACCCTGAAACCCGATACCCTAAACCAGGAACTTAGGCTGCAGCTCCTCCAAGCCAGCGCGACGCGCTTCAACGAAGGACCTCGCACCGGGACAGTTCACTTGGAACAGGTACCCGGTTAAGAGTTCAAGGATATCCAAGTGTTCAGCTTTTTAGGGCGTATGCACCGAACACCATGTTCTGACAGTATAGTTTTGTACCTTATCCTCAAACAATTGAGCACTGACTTGACCCCTCGGGGTAAGCAGGGCAGTCAGGCACCCACAATTCGGAACCTACAAAGCCGATGACTACGGTTGTCCGTGCTGTTGTTGCTGTTGTTGCTGCTGCTGCTGCTGCTGCTGCGGCTGCGGCGGCCGCGTTGGCGGTGGGACGGGAGTGCTCGTGGTGATGCTGGTCAAGATTTTTGGCCTAGAGGCTAGGTCGTTTCTTCTGCACTCTTTTGGGCGAATTAAAGGCTCGAACAGCACCTCAAAACATACAATAAGCTTTGATTTATAGGGATGGCTTCTAAAATAGCTTGGCATGAGATGTGCTGAAGTAGAACAGAGGGTTAGCTAAGTCAGTTGAAGGTTCTACGTTACCCAAACATCCCTGCGCATCATCGCGCCTGCTTTTCGTTCCCTGCACGCCTCGGGAACCTTACACGCTAAAGCCTGATCTCAGAATGGTCAGAAAACTCATAACGCACTGTAAGGTCTGAATGATTA